TTGCCCATTTTTCTTATATTCTTTTAAATGTATAAAGTAACTTGCTTCACCATTTTCTATGTTTATTTGTATTATAATTCAGCAATTTATATATGATTATAAGTTTACCTTACAATTCAGCAGCTAATAACGTGTTATGTTTGTAATGACAGGTTTTAACATCTAATGGCGGACGATCAATACCGTGTTCGAGTTGAGGATGTTGAATCTAATGATGATGATTCATCTAATGATGGGGACCAGCTGTATGATGTGAACAAGGAACCTGATTTGGGTGAGCCAGAAGATCAGGCGCAAGATGTATTGGAGAGAATGATAGATGAGTTTGAAATTGCAGTTGAGCAAGCGCCTCCAATCGATAATGCCATTATGGAGCCGTTTCGTGAGGATCAAAGTGGAGGGGGGGTGCAGGCACCAGCGAAGAAAAAGCTGAGGGGTCCGACGACGGCTTTCAAGAAACCTGTCGGTCCTATGGTCTTGGAGTATGACAGGGTAGGGCAAGCCTAATGGCGTCGTCAGTATGCTGGTCAAGTTGGGATTTGTGCGCACAAAATCCCCATTACGCTTCGTATGAGCGACGTACCTACAGGCTTGATTGACACGTTTTGGAATGATACCAGGGTAAGTTTTTTTTGATGTGATTATTTATAAACAATTTCAATTTATTCTTATGTTATTGGAAAACTAATAATGTTTGTTATTTGTGCTTGCAGAGTCTATTTCACATTCCAAATGAGTACGCCAAGCGAAGGGTGTTTGAATCCTTACTTGCGGCAAGATTCAGAAGCTTCAAGTATGACTTAGTTCGTCGTTTTATCACAAAGAAACTTGTGAGGAAACCAAAGAACAAGAAAGGAGGTGGCAGTGATGATGATGTCATCGATAAAGAGAAACTCCCATGGCAAATATGGCCTAGCATATCGAAGGATGATTGGGAAGCTTTCGTTCTTCAAAAATGTAAAAAAGAAGAAATTGTAAGTTTAAAGAACTCTGATGAAAATTGTGTTGTAATTTATCGTCTTTTTTATTAGTAATGAAACTAACATATCTTTTTATGTAGGAAATGAGGGAGCAGAATTCCAGGAATGCATTGCAAAAGCAATACCACCATCATATGGGAGCAATGACGTATGATGAATGGAGGGATACGTGGGTGAGTGAAGGAGTATACCCCACTGCGCTTCTAGGGTCCTCCACAGCGCCATCTGACTCCATGACCAGTACTTTGGTGAGTCGTGCTGGGGATTTCTTTTGCTCTATGCATTCGCGGGACAAGAAAACCAGAAAATGGTCCATCAAGGCTCCGGAAACCAAAGAAATGACAGATAAGCTAGTAAGCAACTATGAACTAGTGAACTACTTTATTCATTTGCATGTATATCACTTTATATAAACACTTACTTCATGTTGCCATTTTGTTTTTGCTACAGCTTGAGTACACTGGAGAGCTTGTTGAAGGCAAGCTCGTCCCGACGGTAGAGAAGGATCCCTTCACCTTGGCTATGGGAAAGCCCTACCATCCGGGACGGGTATTAGGTGCTAGGGGGAGCTTGCTAGGATGGGAGAAGGTAATGGGTCCCGAATATACCAAATCTGGAAGATCCCGAGCAAGGGTGAACTCGCCACAGAACTTCGATGCCACAGTGGCATCAATTAAAGAACAAGTGCGCAATGAGATGCGCAAAGAGTTCAATGCATGGGGCGAAGCAAATGAATTTGCCGACCTTGCCCTTTTCCTCGACAACACCGGCCGACTCAAGTAGCCACCCACGAAGAGAAGGAGAACAGGAGATAAATGCACGCGAGGAGGTACGTGATTAGAATTCAACTCTATAAGTTTTGATATGTTGAGTTTCGTGGGTACGGTTCTAATTAATGTTTCACTATCAATACACTATTGCAGATTGGTACTCCTTCACATGCGAACTTAAGGGGGCTTGATACTCCGACACCTCATGACTTTCCTATTCTACAGGTGATTTTTTACTTACTTGTTTGGATAATGATATTGGTTTTTGGATTGTATTATGAAATGGTTAAGTTGGTTGTGAAATGGTGTTTCTTAGCTGTGTTGTGTTGTTGGTGTTGCTTTGTTGATGTGATGTGTTGTTGTTGTTTGCTCTTCCTTCTCCTCATTCTCCTCCTCCTTCTCCTTCTCCTCCTCCTTCTCCTTCTCCATCTTCTTCTCCTTCTCCTTCTCCTCCTCCTTCTCTTTCTCCTTCTCCTTCTCCTACTCCTCCTCCTCCTCCTCCTCTTTTATTCTCCTTCTCCTCATTCTCCTCCTCCTTCTCCTCATTCTCCTCCTCCTTCTCCTTCTCCTCCTCCTCCTTCTCTTTCTTCTCCTTCTCCTTCTCCTTCTCCTTCTCATTCTCTTTCTCATTGGGAATCACGCGAGGAGGCTGCAGCAGCTGTGCAGCACTGCAGCAGCTTGAATTAACTCCTATATTACACCTAAATGAGTTCTAACTTGCCCATTTTTCATGATTTTAGCTCAATGCTTGAATTAACTCCTATATTACACCTAAGAAACTTAGTTATTAATATTTATGGCCTGAAACAACATAAAAAAAGCAAATTTACAAGTTTTAGGTTCATTTAGAGTATTTACGGTTCAAAATGGCCTAAATGAGTTCTAACTTGCCCATTTTTCATGATTTTAGCTCAATGCTTGAATTAACTCCTATATTACACCTAAGATACTTATTTATGAATATTTATGGGTTGAAACAACATAAAAAAAGCAATTTCACAAGTTTTAGGTTCATTTAGAGTATTTACGGTTCAAAAATGGCCTAAATGAGTTCTAACTTGCCCATTTTTCATGATTTTAGCTCAATGCTTGAATTAACTCCTATATTACACCTAAGATACTTATTTATGAATATTTATGGGTTGAAACAACATAAAAAAAAACAATTTCACAAGTTTTAGGTTCATTTAGAGTATTTACGGTTCAAAATGGCCTAAATGAGTTCTAACTTGCCCATTTTTCATGATTTTAGCTCAATGCTTGAATTAACTCCTATATTACACCTAAGAAACTTAGTTATGAATATTTATGGCTTGAAACAATATAAGAAAAGAAAATTTACAAGTTTTAGGTTCATTTAGAGTATTTATGGTTCAAAATGGCCTAAATGAGTTCTAACTTGCCCATTTTTCATGATTTTAGCTCAATGCTTGAATTAACTCCTATATTACACCTAAGATACTTAGTTATGAATATTTAAATGAAGTATCTTCCTAATTGGTGCACGAAGAGACCCGTTGTGAACTTCTTCACCCGGGCGAATCATATGATGGACCTTTGAATGTTGTTGCCTATGGTAGTGCGCAACCGGCCGAACAAGGTACGGTCCATCTTCGACCTCTCCTGCCTGAGCATTATTCTGTCGGGATCCATTCTGTGGTTCCCGGGTTCGAGGACATCTTAATACCTGTGCCCGTGGAGGAGGATGAGTTCACTACACTCTAGGCAACAAAAGGTAGTTTTGTGCAATGGCCATCTGCTTGGATACGGTTGATGAACCAGGTAATTAAGATTTAGATTTCACGCTTTAATCTTTTCTTCCCAAGAGTTGGATGAAAATCTTTTCTAACCATTTGTGTGATTTTTCATATTAGCCATCGAGGAAAAGCCAAACTCCAAAGAAGAGGGTGGAGGGGCCAAAGAATTGGAGTGAACATGGCTTAGTGAGTGGAAAAGCGTCGATGAAGAGCCCTTCACGAGGTTCAGCTACGCAAGCTACTCCATTAGTTGAAGACACGGTGCTTCAACATTTTGTGTATTCTAAGTTTTGCAAGGGGCAAACGGGACAACCATACACGAGCGAGGAAGTCCATGTAATTCGGGAGATGTTGGCGACCTACATCACATTTAATTTGTAAATATCGTTTACTAGCTAGCTACTACATCAATCCTAGCCTTAGCTTACTTATTATGTATTATACATGAAACATTTTTCTAATTTATATCATCTCTTGCGATTGTTATTATTATTTATGTTTTATTATTAATAATACTAATTATTGTTACTATTATCGTAATAATTATTATTATTATTATTAATATTAATATTAATATTATTGCAGCAAAAAAAATTAAAAAATACAGGTCAATATTGCAGCAAAAAAAAAATACAGGTCAATATTGCAGCAAAAAAAAATACAGGTAAATATTGCAGCAAAAAAAAAATACAGGTCAATGGCAACGGTTAACCGTTGCCAATATTTTTTTTTTTTAAAAAAAAAGCGCGCCATTGTATTTGGCAACGGTTAACCGTTGCCAACTCAAGCAATTGGCAACGGTTAACCGTTGCCAATTATTTTTAAAAACAAAAAAAAAGGGCGTCATGGTTAATGGCAACGGTTAACCGTTGCCAATTGCTTGAGTTGGCAGCGGTTTTGAACCGTTGCCAATTATTTTGGGATTTGGCAACCCTCAAATACTCAACGGTTCAAAACCGTTGCCTTTGGAGGGGTTTGAACCGTTGCCAATTTGCTCTTTTCGTGTACGTATGAATTATAAACTTTACTAAACTATATTTCTTTCTCTTTATCCAGGCCATTTAATAAAATCTTTTCATGCTATTACAGCTTGTGTATTGTTTAATGACAAATAAATGCAACTATATATATATAGAATGCTTGCATCATCATATGCCTAGCACTAGGCGAAAAAAACGAATTCCCCAGCGGTTCAAACCCCCCTTTCCCACCGGTTTTGAACCGAGTTGTATTTGGGGGGTGCTAAAACCCCATAGATTTCTCATCGGTTCAAAACCGGTGGGAAAAAGGACTTTTCGCACCGGTTCTTAGGGAAAACCGGTGGCAAAAACTGAACTTTTCGCACCGATTTTACTTAGAACCGATGCCAAAAGTCCCCAAAAAAAATTTAAAAAAACTTTTAGCACCGATTCTTTTCCAAAATCGGTGCCAAAAATGCCCAAAAAAATTAATTTTTATTTTTTATTTTATTTTTTATTTTATTTTTTGTTTGCATTTTTTTCACTTAAATTGATATATAAACACTAACATATATATAAAGTTACAGAAATTTACTTCTAATACTCCAAAAACCTGTTCTAATGAACAATATAAACAGCAAACATCTAACTAAATTAAACAGCCCAAACTAAGCAGCTCAACAGGCTACAAAAATAACAAAACACAGCGCAACACCAAAGCAGCAGAGCAAGCACATCAACTCAACATCACAGCACCCCAGAAACCAGCATCACAGCACTGCAAAAGGAAGCACACATCAACACCAACACAGCAGCGCATCACATCACATCAACACAGGAAAACTCGACATCACAGCACAGCAGACACAACACTGTAGCAGCTCACAGCAACAGAAGCTGAGCAGACACAGCCTGACAGCTAACATCAACAGAACAGAAACAACTACACAGGAGCATTGATCTTCAGCTGATACAACCATTTGCAATGATCCCTCTTCCATGAATTATCCATGGTGCTCCTATACCTACAATGGCATAACCTGCCTACATGAAAGGAACAAAAAAATTAGCTAACATATCATATCCCTTATGATTAGAAAATTTGTAAACATATTCATTCTGAAACAACAAAATTAAATTGTTTATTGGTTCATCCAAAAATGGCCTCCCAAATAGTCTTGGATTAGTAGGGGTAATGCAATGTTCTGATTCTTTTCAATCTCCTTGATCACTACTATATATGTATAATCTGCTTTCTTTCCTTCTCTACTATAATTTATTCTCAAATTATTCCCCAAGCTACCTCATAACAGAATTCTATTGTCATTTTCTATAATGCTCCACCCCTGGGTTAGTCTATTACATTATGCTAAATAATACCTTAATCAATTTCTGTTTTTAAACGAATAAATTCTAATATTCATCTCCTGGAGCTAACTACTCACCCACACAAAAATCACAAAATACTTCTATCACAAATAAACGCAGCTTTATAGAAGTTAGCTAACAAATGGGAGCCAAAGGAGGGAGGGATTTAAAAATAATAACCAATTAATAGAAAGAAACAAAAAATTAAAGAGGAAAAATGAATTAAAGGATTAAAGCTAAGGGAAGACAACTACAAAGCAGTGAAATTTAAACATTGTCAGAAGCACTAAACTAATTGCAGTTTCAACAAGTCACACAACTACAGTGTCTTCCAATCAGAATGGCAACAAAAAAATCAGAAATTGAAGGATACAATTGAAAAAAGATTGAAGTGCAAGGAAAAAAGAAAAAAAAATCTCGTAATATAAAATTATACAACAATAAAATCACTAAAAGTTAAAGCAATACATGTTACATTAATAAAATGACTGTAAGAGACTCTCTGCACTTATGAAGTAATGTATGCTTAAAGGGTGTGTATCACAACTGTTAGAATAGTACCTTGTCTGTAGATCCGGTTATAATTGAACTTTCATCCTGTGGAACAATCTTAATGCTGGTAACCTGCAAAAAAAGCAATGAAGTGTAAATAGTTTAACATTTACTAGTCCATATGGCTTTTGCATTGCAAAACCACGCATAAGAAAGACCTTTGAATGACCACTTAGTGTAGACACAATCTGTCCAGAAGGTCGATCAAAGACAACAACATTTGTATCAGTCCCTCCGATCGCAATGATATCCTATAAAAGCATGGATATATAAAAGCATGGTTTGAACAACGGCACTTCGTGCCCTGCTCCTCTTACAGTCGCAAATGTTAGCCCCTCGTATACCTCTGTCCATCCTCCAACCTTGAAAAAAAAACACATTACAGAACAATTAGGCATATCATATGATATATTTTTTACTTGGAATTCTGTTATATGCGGATTATGAAATAAGTTAGAGCGCGTTTTTTTTACGAACCTGTTTCTTGACATACCATGGATACCATGGGATTTTAACTTTCAACTTCAACTGTGCAAGAGAATACCTAGTAGCTGTTACTGGCACTACTGAATCCACATCTCCACTGCAATTCATAAAGATTTGAATAAATGGCAGTATATAAATCGCGCATTAACAATAAAATTGACCTAGGTTTCTGGTCGAATTAACACCTCTAACTACCATACGACTATACCATTAAGAATTATTCAGTAGCAAAGCTCAGTCTAGTTGGTTGATTGCATAATTCGAATCAAGTTCATCGCGACTAGGAATCTATCAAAGTTAAAATTACTAAGAATGCATGTGTTCATATTTCCCTACCCTTTCCTCTGCCTTGAGCTCCTCCAAGAAGGATCCAACCTACAAAGTTGGACTAGAATGGTTTTTTTTTTTTTTTTTTTTTTTTTTTTCAGGGAGCCACAATAACGGGTAATATTAAATTGATTTTTTGTCCATTTGTCCCATCATACTATCAAGAAAATACGACATATATCGTGCTAAGACTAACTTCATCCATTTGATACGCTCATTTTAAATTAGCCTACATTATATAATATTTAACTAATTGATGAAAATAGCATGTGCATGAGTTTTTAAGTTAGCTATAGTGAAAGTCTGTTTAAAAACACGGCATTAATTATAGACAAAATAATAAAAATATCCGCTCCATACGACCACACCCACAGAAGTATACTACGTAGCAGATAGAAGATAAATGTTGCTTAATTGTTACTTACGCAGCTAATAGGTTGGTTGGACCAAATACGAATATTGAAATTGCTTCAAGAGCTATTGTTGTTGAATCAAGAGACAAATATCTGGAATCACCCTTGCTGTACTCTTTCCCTATAAAATAAAAAATATTAGCAAATCGAAAAAAAAAGGTAATGTATTCAAATTATAGTGAAGTGAGAATCACCCTTTAAACTAACTGAAGGAGTTGAATTAATTGATATTAGCAAGAGAATTACATAATTCGGGGAAAATGGATCTAGTCTTGTCCTTGTAGAATTACAGACATGTTGTTACTTGTTAGATCAATCAACAATAACAACTACTACATCCATTCGTTTATGTTACGGAGTTTTTACTATGTTTCACGTTCGATTGTTTCCTTTTTACACTTGTTCCCCTTATTAGATAACAAAACAAATAACCCATCAACAAAGATTAAATCATTTGAAGTAATTACTATATATTGAAGGAGTAAATCAATAATAAGAAGTAGAACCTTAATCCCAATGATAGTCGGCTATATGAACCAAAATTTTATATAAGGAGGCGTGATGATAGAATGTAAACAGAGTAAATCGAGTAGAAAAAAAATAATACCTGAGAGAATCCATGTGAAGTAGAAAACAACAATTAAAGCAGCAGCAAAAATACCCAAAATGGTTTTTGCAGAGTAAAGATTAGGGATAAAATCTGACGCATTAAAATCTTTTGGAAAATTAGGAAGATGAACCTCCATTCTTCTTTCTGTTCTTCCCCAAATAATCTTAAATAATTAAAAGAAAGAGAAGTTTGACTTGAGATTTGTATGACAGTACATACAAGTTTTAGATTAATATATATACAATCATGAATCATGGACAAGTATTGTAAGAATTAAAAGCAAGATTATATACAGTAATATAGTTACAAAATAAATGCATGTAGTTAATTGGTCGCTGTCACACTCTAAGTTCAGGTTCGCCTTAAACTTATCAGGGACCCTGAGCTAATGGAGTTGTATTAATCTCATCAGTCACCAGTCTGACCACCCCGGTTTTAACCGGGAGAAATTTTGAAGTTGAGCTAATCCTTAGCTTCCTACTAGTAGATTTTAACCATGCTCCTCATCAGCCTCATATATGTGGGAATTCTCTGTAAGCAAAGGAAAAGATGTACTCCATATGACAGTAACTACAGGAGGATTACTTGATACACAAAATTAACTGTCAACTCTCCATGAGGCAAGAAAGTAATAGAAGAAATCGAAAACTTGTTGTAATGCACAGAAACAGATAACGCATTTTCTTAAGATTAAAAATCAGTTTAGGGCCAAGAAGAACACATTATCAATGCAGATCAAACTCCGTTAAAACAACAATGCTTTGCAGAACATCCGAACATATATAGTCTAAACCTAGTCCGCCTATCTAAGGGTAAACCATCATCTTACCTCGAAGCTGGTTCAATGGAGGTGAGAAAGCTCAGAATCGGTGGAGGTGTAGCCGTGACAAGGAGGCCGTTAGGGTGGAGGTGTAGCCGTGCGCGCTTCAATGACCAACCCTATATTACCACAACCCTAAAATTACTAAATTGAACAGAAAATCAACGACAAACCCTAGATTGCGAAAGAAAATCAATGAATTTGCACAACCACAAGAAAAATCTTACCTCGAAGTGAGTTCAATGGAGGCCAGAGCTGGTTCAATGGAGGTGCTGCTTCAATGGAGTGAGAATGCGCGTAAACCAATTCAATGGAGAGAGAGCAAGCTGCTCCAACGGAGTGCAGAAGGAGATGCGAAAACGAGAGGGAGATGCGAAAACGGAGAGGGAAAGCTGGGAGGAAGAGCAGGAGATGAGAAAATGGGAGGGAAAGAGGAGCAGAACGAAGAGGGAAAGCAGGGGGGAAAAGAAAGAAGAAGAAAGAAAGCCTTAAATCGTTTTTTTTTTTAACATTTCGCACAGGTTTTGGTTAGAACCGGTGGCAAATCCCTTTTCTCCCTTTTTCTTTTTTTTTTCGTTTGTAATTCGCACCGGTTTGCACCAGTGCGAAAAAGATGATTTCGCACCGGTTTTATAGGAACCGGTGCGAAAAGTCATTTAGCTTATCCCGCCCATTTCTTTTGTCAGCGGTTTTCAAGAACCGGTGCGAAAGGTGCGGTGCCTAATTCATTTTTTCTACTAGTGTAGATACCTGTTCAAGGCTTTCTCATTAGGAGAAAGTCTTGAATAATCCTCGATTGGGACTATTCTTGAACGTTTACTCTCACTTAGGTGGTGAATGTATGTCTTTTTTTTTCTTCGATTTAAAGGAACAGCTTGGCTTACCATTTCCTCAGCATGTTCCCTGGGTACATATCTGGGTAAGTAATTATCTACATCGTGTACTTGGAGAACAGGGGGGAAATGTTGTCGGATTTTCCTTAAAATTGGCAAGTCGGCATACGTTCACTAGTGAGATTAAACGTTCAAGGATGGGTTAGGTTGGAGTGATAAGGACCCTTTGGAAGCATGCATTTTTCAATATATGAATGGTATATGCATGTGTGTGTTTGAATTTGATTTACATAATATATGTAGCAATTATACATTATTCATAATATGTTGATATGTTTAGAGACAATTTACTAAATGGAGAAGGATCGTGGTTGGATATATGGTAGACGTGATACATTGGAATTCTTTCATGGGGTTCAAGAGTTTTGCGAGATGGCTTCATCTTATCAGCGCAGAATGGGTGTTGATTGCCTCTATTGTTCTTGTGTTGATTGTAATAATGTGAAGGTGGTCAATAGTGTTGAAATCATTAGAGATCATGTAATTTGTCGTGGGTTTAGGCTTAAATACCATGTGTGGATTTGGCACGGTGAATAAGGAGAGTACAGTGGGGATGTTGATGGGAATGATGTGCATGATAGAAGCAATGAGATTCGTGTGGACGAGGAATACGGGAATGATGAATATATTATTGATAATGGTGAGGATGGAGCTGAGGATGATCAGGTTGATGAGGCCGAGGTTGAAGAGGTGGATGAGATGATGCATGGTGTTGAAGGCGACGTGTTTGATTCATTATTGGAGGTTTCTAAAAAGCCTTTGTATCTTGGGTGCAAAAAATACTCCAAACTATCAGCCGTGCTAACACTTTTTAACATTAAGTCGAATCATGGGTGGGCGGACACTAGTTTTACTTCTTTGTTGACCGCGTTAAGTGAGATGTTGCTTGACGGGAATGAAATTCCTAAGTGTTACTATTATGTAAAGAAGCTTATGTGTCCATTTGGTTTGGAGTAAAGATACATGCATGTCCTAATGACTGTATTCTTTATCTAATGAATATGAACAATTGGAGGAGTGTCCACGATGCAAGAAGTCGCGCTACAAGCGCATGAGTTGCAATGCTGGTACGAAGGGATCTCTTGCTAAGGTGTTGTGGTATCTTCCCATTATTCCAAGGTTTAAAAGTTTGTTCTCAACACCAAAAGACACTAAAAACTGGAGGTGGCATGTAGAGGGAAGAAAGAAAAACAGAATGCTGAAGCATCCAGCTGACTCCTCGCAATGGAAGAACATTGATATGAAGTTTGGGAAATTTGGTGATGAAGTCAGAAATTAAAGGCTTGGGTTGTGCACAGATGGGATGAATCCATTTGGCACTCTTAGTACCCAACACAACACATGGCCGATACTTTTAGTGATCTATAATTTGCCTCCTTAGTTGTGCATAAAACGTAAGTATGTAATGCTTTCACTGCTAATAATGGGGCCAAGGCAACCTATAAATGACATAGATGTTTATCTTGCGCCACTTGTTGACGATTTGAGAAAGATGTGGGACGAAGGGGTTTCCGTTTTTGATGCTCATAAGAATGAGATGTTCACATTGCGTGCAGCTCTTATGTGGACCATTAATGATTTTCTTGCATATGGCAACTTGTCTGGGTACAAGAACAAAGGAAAAAAAGCATGCCCCATTTGTATTGATGACACACCAAGCATACACCTTGAACATTCTCACAAAGAGGTATACGTGCGGATCCGAAGGTTGCTCAGGCACGATCACCAGTACCGTAGGCAGAAAAAGGCTTTCAATGGGACAGTGGAAGAGGGGACTGCGCCTAGGCCATTGACTGGTGAGGAGGTTTATGCTCGAGTTAAGGGTTTACGAACAGTATTTGGGAAAACAGAAAAAGCTGCGGACTCAACTACTCTCTTTAAAAAAGAATCAATCTTTTGGAAGCTTTCGTACTAGAAAGAACATGACGTTAGGCACTATCTTGATGTGATACATATAGAGAAGAATGTGGGTGATGCTCTTGTGGGAACGCTGATGAATATTCAAGGCAAAACAAAGGATGGAAAGGGTGCACGGTTAGATTTGGAAAAGATGGGGGTTCGTCTAGAATTGTAGGCTTGGGAAAAGGTTAAAAAGGGAAAGGAAAATAAAAATGAAATTGTTTCGAAAAAAGGAAAGGGGAAGAGCAAGGGAAAGGAAAAGGAAAAGGGAAAGGCCACGGATGCGTCGAAGAAGACAGATGAGGGTAAAGGCAAGGATGAAAAGGCTTATTTACCTCCGGCTGCTACACATTGTCAAGGGTAGGAAAACGGATGTTTTGTGCATGTCTGTACGATATTAAGGTTCCATTAAGGTACGCATCTAACATGAATATATTTGTATCCTTAAATGGAGATTGAAGCTGACAAGTATGAAATCTCATGACTGTCATATTATGATGCAAGTTTTCCTACCAACTGCAATACGTGGTATTTTACCGAAGCACATGAGGGAAGCTATTACAAGCCTTTGTTCGTTTTTCAATACAATATGGAGCAAAGTGGTTGATCCTTGTACACTTGATGCTTTGCTGGCGGATGTGGTTGTGACTTTGTGCAAATTTGAGATGTATTTCCCACCCTTATTTTTTGACATAATGGTGCATCTGATTCTTCATTTGGTTCGTGAGATTAAGTTGTGCGGTCCAGTGTTCATGAGGTGGTGCTAGCCTTTTGAAAGACACATGGGTACATTGCAAAATAAAGTAAGGAATCCGGCTCACCCGGAAGGAAGTATGATTCAAGGGACCGTGGGTGTGGAGATTAGTAATTTTGTGGCCGACTATACAGTCGTTGCTGAACCTATTGGTCTTCCTACTTCTCGACATGAGAGTGTCATTGATTCAGTAAGGTGGGTTGCTTATGGTCCTAGGGATGATGTTCGCTCATTTGAGGGATATGACATAAATGGGTACACTTTTTGGACTGAGCGTCCAGATTTGAAACTTTCCTCGACCCAAAACAGTGGTGTAACGCTTGTGGCATCGTCAAGGGAGTTTGCAAGTGCTAAGGATAAATCACCCGTTGATACAGAGTTTTCATACTATGGTTGAATTCAAGAAATATGGGATCTTGATTATTGTAACTTCACGGTTGCTCTTTTCCAGTGTAAGTGGGTTGATAATATCAGGCGTAACGTCAAATATGATGACATTACTCTTGTAGATCTTGGCCACCTGAATGATAGTGCGGAACCATTCATCCTTGCATCTCAAGCTAAGCAAGTGTCCTACGTAACTGACCCAGTCGATTCAAAATGGTTTATTGTGCTAGCTGGCAAAAGAAGAATCCTAGGCATTATATTGGAGATGTTGAGGATGAGGAAGAATATAATGTGTTTGATGATTCAGCACCTTTCACTGTTCCTAGACCTGTTATACCAAATGACATAGACGACCAAGAAAATTATATGTAATCAGACCACAACGAAGGAATATTAGAATGAGGTACTATTATTTGTGATTTTGAAATTGAAGGCGATGAAAGTATTATAAAATCACAAGTTAGGTTATTTAAAGATTTATTTTGGTGAAAATGAATGAAAGTGTTAACTTACTTGCCCATTTTTTACATTTTCTTTTAAATGAATGAAGTAACTCTGAAAACATGTTAAATATGATAGGATATAATATTTTAAGTGTTGACAGTATTATAAAATCACAAGTTAGGTGACTTAGAGAGTCATTTTGGTTATAATGGAATAAAAATGACCTATATGTTAACTTACTTGCCCATTTCTATATTGATTTGTATTTATAATTCATAAATTTATATTTGATTATAACTTTACCTAAAAAATTTATTTCTATTTCAACTAATAACGTGTTATGTTTGTAATGGCAGGTGTTTATATCTCATGGAGGACGATGAGGACCTTAATTGTGTAGAGGATATGAAGGATAATGATGATTATGTCATTGAGGATGAGGACGAGCTTTATGATGTCAACAAGGAGAATGATTTGGGTGAGCTGGAAGATCAGGCTCAGGGGATGAGTTTGAGCGTAGGCTTGATGAATTTGAAATTTCAGTTGAACGTGTGCCTCCTATTGAAAATTCGATTTCTGAGATGGTTGGTGAGAATTCTGCTCCTCAAACTCAAAGCGAG